TATTATGCACGCATCCCCGAAGGAACCTATACCTTCCGGGTAAAGGACAGCCGTGGCTGTATCGGTGATACCACCATGGACCTGATCGGCTACCCGCACATCAATATCAATAATCCTACAATTACAGATGCCAGCTGTAATGGCTACAAAGACGGAGCGTTTACCCTGAATGTAACCGGCGGCAACCCACCCCTCAGCTATTTTATGAGGAGCCCGACAGACAGCAATAAGACGGGTATTTTCGACTCGTTGGTACGGGGCACTTATGTGGTACGTATTGTAGATTCGACAGGCTGCTTTAAAGAAACAACCGTTGTCATCAATCACCCGGACACGCTGGTGGCCGGAACGATTATCACACCTAATGACTGTATCGGGTATGACGACGGTGGCGCTGTTGAAGTAACAAGCAGGGGTGGCACACCTCCTTACAGTTACCTATGGAGCACCACCCCACAACAAACAGCCGGTAAGATCAGCGGATTGCCCAATGGTAAATATGCTGTGATAGTTACCGATGCGCATCGCTGCGCGGACACAACCATTGCACTGGTGCCTTATGATAATTGCTGCAAACCGGTCATTCCCGATGCATTTACCCCCAATGGAGATGGCAGAAATGACCGCTTCCGCGTATTGTTTAAGGGAGATGTAAAGCTGGAAAGCTTCTCTGTATATAACCGTTATGGCCAGCGTATCTTCTACACCACAGCTACCGAAGCTGGCTGGGATGGTACCTGGAATGACCGCAACCAGGATGCCGGAACTTACTTCTATTACATCCGCCTGGTATGTGGTAATAAAGGGAATAATGTACAGGAATATAAAGGGGATATAACCCTGATCAGGTAAGAAATTTAAAAACGTATAGCAGGGCAATAATGACAAAGTATCAGAATATTCCGTCATAGACTGGTAATATTCGTTTAAACTCCTATTTTTGCCGACTTGAAAATAAATTATGGAATATAGGGAAATCGTATCAGTGACCGGAATTGGCGGGCTTTACCAATTGCTTTCTACCAAGAGTGATGGCGCTATCGTTCGTAATCTTGCCGATAACACTACCAAGTTTATCTCTGCGCGTCTGCACAATGTAACGCCATTGGAAAGCATCGAGATCTATACTATTGGCAACAATGTGCGCTTGCATGAGGTATTGGATCAGATGCAGAAAAGCGAGAAGAGCAAACCAGATGCTAAAAAAGCAAGCAACGATGAGATCAGGTCTTACTTCAAGGAAGTGTATCCGGATATTGATGAAGACCGTGTGTATGTAAGTGATATGAAGAAGATGCTCAAATGGTTTGACCTGCTGAAGAGCAACAACCTGCTGGACTTCTCTTCACTGAACAGGCAACAGGAAGATGCCGCCGCCGGAGATGCGGATGCGGAAGCACAGGTTGCAGAAAAGGAACAAGCTGAAAATGCCGAAGATGTTGCTTTGATAGCAGAC